CAGATGAGAAATCTTCACAAACTCTTACTGGCACCCGTCTCCAAGAACGTCTTCAAGATTGGCAACAGGACAACAGACATGGAAGAGAAGTGTATCAACAAGTTCATTTCTCAGTTCTCCAGATTCAACTGTCTCCAGCACCTCTCCTTCAGGAGGGTCTACTTTCTCAGAAACCGCATCAAACGGGTCCTCAGGTAAGCAAGGGTGGAGAGCTGGATTAGCTACCAGAGCAGACCTTTCTCTTTAGTTGTAAGGGTTAGTAGTTCATGATGCCTGCCAGTCAGTGGGTACAAACATTTAGCACCCCTTGAATACAGAATTTATGTCTTGATTCCATGTATAGTGAATCATAGTGTCAAATGCACTATAATGAATCAGAAAACTGAAGGTCAGATTTGGTAAGGATGGGATGTAATTCTTCTTGGAATGATGCCCACCCAATCCAATGGAAAGGGAACAGGAAGGGGAGAGTGCAGTGAGGAATCGGTGAACTCACAAGCACAGTGTTGAGGGGAGCTCTGAACTCAGGTCTGTGAGAACAGCCTCAGTCTCTCCCAAATTCCCCATGGGTGACAGGTTTTGAGCTTAAGTAGAGCTGAGTGCCTGGGATAATGGGGATAGTGAGGATGTTAAATTACTACAAGTGTGACTTGCAGAGGCATTGATGGGATCCAGAGTGCAGTGAGCACACAGGACGTGTCCCTAGAGCCTGCCAGGACTTTCGTGTTTTGGAACTCATTATGTGTGCTTTCTGAGCTCTTGGGCTGAACTGGCTTCTGCTTGAGATTGAGGCCAAGAGAAGTGACAGCTTGTCTTAAGAGAGGAGATTTCTGCAGGAAGCATCTAAAATGATGCCCTTTGAATCCTTGGGGAACTGGGCTTCTTCTATGCAAATGCCACCCTATACTCTCCAACACCATTTTCCAGAAAGTAACGTACTGGTCTATCCCTAGGTGCCTGATGACCCCATTGGAGACCCTGTCCATCACTTACTGTGACATTTTACAGTCAGACCTGAATTACTTCTCTGAGTGTCTGAACCTCTTTCAGCTGAAACATCTGGACATGAAAGGTGTGGTTTTAGAGGCTTTGGATCTCATGCCTCTCCGAGTCCTCCTAGAGAATGTGGCAGACACTTTGCAGTCCCTGGACATGAAGTGTTGTAGGATGAAGGACTCTCATCTCGCTGTGCTCATACCTGCCCTCAGCAAGTGCTCCCAGCTGGCCAAGGTCATTTTCTATTGCAATGACTTCTCCATGCCCATCCTGAGGAACCTTTTGCAGCACACAGCCAACTGGAGCAAGATAAATGTGGAACAGTACCCTGCCCCTCTTGAGTGCTATGACAACTTTGGTTATGTCTCCACAGAGAGATTTACCCAACTTTGTGCTGAGCAAATAGATAGACTCAGGGCCATAAGGTGGCCCAAGAGCATCTCCTTTGCTACACATATGTGCCCTAGATGTGGAGAGCGCTGTGTCTATGGCCGAAGATTCAGACCTTGTCTTTGCCAGAGGAGGCGGCAATAAATAGAGAAACCTAACTTCTGCATTTGAAGCAATGGAAGGCTTGGGACACATATCTCATGCTAGGAACTCGGAGCTTGTGGCTTCAGACTCTGCTCAAATTTTTAGTATCCAGATGATTGAAGAGCTGGATCTAGGATTCTGAAGGTGACACGGAGAACAATGGGACTGTGGGAACAAGGATCTTGTGGAGTCAGAAAGACAGTTTTGCCTTTAAGCGTCCAACTGTCAGGACACTGTTGCCAGTGGCTTTGACCTGCAAGTGTAAACCTGGATGTTCTCCCTCTGGGGTCTTTTTTGGTTATCACCCTCACTGCTGGGCTCTGGAGGGTTCCATGACACAATGAATGGAAAAACACTGGTGTCTCGTTAGTGAGACAAAGGTCAGTGCCAAATTCACATCCATAAAATGACAGTTTTGGTGACACTTCTTCCATTCTTGTCCTTTTCCTGCCTGTGCAATAGTTACAACTGTCTTGTGTGGTTGTTCTTTCACATGCTCAGAAAGTTGACACTAAAGGTAGCAATGTAGACACAGCTCCTGTGAATATGAAGGGGGCTTTAATGGAACAGACCATTAATGTCCAGTACACCCAGGCCACAATGCACCATGGACCCATGAGAGGTAACTGAAGAGAAGAAGAAGACAACACAGGGAAAAGTGAACAGGCTTTTCAACGGTTATTTTTCTTCCAGTCTTAAAACCTTGTTTTCTTTTTCGTTGAAAGGCTTATGGACTCTGGGCTAACCTTGGACTCTTGACCTTGTCTGGGTGAGACTACCACCATATACCAGTATATCCATCCCGCATGCCGCATGTCTCTAGGGCCGTATTCCTGTGGACTCCCAAACTCTGTGAAGCAGCCATAGTGTACATAAAGGTGTCCAATGCCACATAAGTCCCTGTCCTGCAGAAAACATTTTATTTACAGAAGAATTTTATTTTATGTCTTCAGTTTTGGTCTCTGTATTGATGTGTATAAGAAGAAAAATCTCCCTTGTCCCGGCCATTATATGCCCTTTTTCTGTAGAGTAAGATATCAATAAAATGATTTATTTCTGAATTGTTTTCTTCTCCATTGAATTATTTATTGAACACCTAGAACATGCTTTTTATGTTGTTGTTGGCAACAGACATTTATTAAACCTTATAGTTGAAAAAGAATTGTGGGTAGTGAACTCTGAGGTGGTTTTACGTATGATGTGTTGGTAATTATTTCAGAGTCAGGGGTGCCCTTTAAAATTATTACCATATTTAACCTTAAGATTTATAGAAGAAAGTCAAACAATAAACAATGCATGGTTTCTCAGAATGATAGGAAGTATATTTCCCCTTTTTCAATTTTACTTTTTAATTTATTACAATTGATTCACTTTGTATCCCAGCTGTAGCCCTCCCTCCCCGTTGTCTTCTCACAATCCTGCCCTCCCTGCCTCTTCTCCTCTCTTGCCCATCCCCTCCAGACCACTGATAGGGGACATCCTCCTCCCCTTCCATCTGACCCTAGCCTATTAGGTGTCATCAGGACTGCCAGCATTTTCTTCCTCTGTGGTCTAGTACAGTTGCCCCAATGTCCTGCGAGGGAGGTAGTCACAGAGTCAGGTACTGAGTTAATGTCAGAGACAGCCCTTGTTCCCCTTACTAGGAAGCCCATTTGAAAACTGAAATGCCATGGAAAAATATGTGCAGGGGTTCTAAGATTATCTCCATGAAGGGTATGTGGTTGGAGTCTCACAGAAGACCCCTGAGCCATGATTTTTTCGTTCTGTTGTTCTTGTGGAGTACCAGTCCCCCTCAGGTCTTTCTATCTCCCGCTTCTTCCATAAGGTTCCCTTCACTCTGCCCAAAGTTTGGCTATGAGTCTCAGCATCTCTTTAATACCCTGCTGGGTAGATGTCTTTTACAGGCCCTCTGTGGTAGGCCTTTTGTGGTAGGCTCCTGTCCTGTTGCCTTTTTTCTCTCTCTTCCTATGTCAGTCCCATTAGCCTTTCTAAATGAGGATTGATCATCTTTCCCAGGGTCCTCCTTCTTGCTTAGTTTCTTTTTTTTAATATATTTTTTTTATTTATTACAGTTTATTCAGTTCGTATCCCAGCTGTATCCCCTATCATCATCTCTCCCAATCCTTCCTGCTCTCTTTCCCTTATCTCCTCCCATGTTCCTTTTCCAGTCCACTGATAAGGGAGGACATTCTCCCCTTCCATCTGACCTTAGCCTATCAGGTCTCCTCAGGATTGTCTTTCCTAGTCTTCCTCTGTGGCCTGGTAAGTTGGTACACTGCCCTAGGGGAGAGGTGATCACAGAGTCAGCCACTGAGTTTATGTCAGAGACAGCCCCTATTTTCCTTACTAGGGTACCCATTTGGAGAATGAGCTGCCATGGGCTACAATTGTGCTGGGGTTCTAGTTTATCCCTATGAATGGTCATTGGTTGGAATATAAGTCTCAGAAAAGATCCCTGAACCCAGATTTTTTTGGTTCTGTTATTCTTGTGAGCTCCAGACCCTTTTATGTTTTTCTATATCCCAGTTCCTTCATAAAATTCTCTGTACTCTGCCCAGTGTTTGGCTATGAGTCCAAGCATCTCTTTAATACCCTGCTGGATAGAGTCTTTCAGAGGCCCTCTGTGGTAAGTTCCTGTCTCGTTCCTTATTTGCACCTTCTTCCAATGTCTATCCCATTTGCCTTTCTGAATAAGGATTGAGCATCTTATGCAGGGTCCTCCTTCCTTAGCTTCTTTAGCTGTACAGATTTCAGTATGATTATCCTATATTATATGCCTATTATCCAGTTATAAGTGAGTATATACCATGTGTGTCTTTCTGCTACTGGAATAGCTCACTCAGGATGATCTTTTCTAGTTCCCACCATATGCCTGCAAATTTCTTGATTTCCTTGTTTTTAATTTCTGGGTAGTATTACATTGTACAAATGTACCACAATTACTGTATGCATTCCTCAATTGAGGGGCATCGGGGTTGTTTCCAGATTCTGGCTATTATGAATAAAGCTCAATGTCCTTGTTGTATACTTGAGCATTTTTTTTCGGATATATGCCTAAGAGTAGTATAGCTGTATCTTGAGGAAGCACTATTCCCAATTGTTTGAGAAAGCACCAGGTTGATTTCCAAAGTGGTTGTACAAGTTTACATTTCCACCAGCAATGGAGGAAGGTTTCCCTTTCTCCATATCCTCTCCAACATGTGTTTTTAATTGAATTTTTTATCTTAACTATTCTGATGGGTGTAAGGTGAAATCTCAGGCTTGTTTTGATTTGCATTTCCTTGAAGACTAAGGATGTCGAGCATTTCTTTAAGTGTTTCTCTGCCATTCGATATTCCTCTATTGAGAATTCTCTGTTTAGCTCTGTACCCATTTCATAATTGGATTACTTGATTGGTTGCTGTTTAACTTCTTGAGTTTTTTATATATTCTGGATATTAGCCCTCTGTCAGATATAAGGTTGGTGAAGATCTTTTCCCAATCTGTAGGCTGTCATTTTGTTATGATGACAGTATCCTTTGCTTTTCAGCAGCTTTTCAATATCATGATATCCCATTTATTGATTGTTGTTCTTAGAGCCTGTGCTGTTTGTGTTCTGTTCAGGGAGTTGTCTCATTAGGCCTCATTAGAATATGAAGGTCATGTATTATTTCCATGTATAATGAATCATGTTGTCAAATGCCCAGTCATGAATCAAAGACCTGAAGGTCAGATCTAGTAAGGATGGGTTGTAATTCTTCTTGGATTCATGCCCACCAATCCAATGGAGAGGAAACAGGACGGGGAGAATGTAGTCAGGATTCAGGGGACTCACCAGCAGAGTGTTTAAGTGAGCTCTGTGCTCAGATCTGTGAGAGCAGCCTCAGTCTGTCCGAATTTCACATGGTTTAAATACTTTGAGCCCAAGTAGAGCTGAGTACATGGGACAATGTGGCTAGTGTGGGATTTAAACGCTATTAAGAGTGACTGTGCAGAGGCATTGATGGAATGCAGAGTGCAGTGAGCTCACCTAAAGTATCCCTAGAGCCTGCCAGGACTTTCATGGGTTGGAACTTCCTCTGTTTATCTTCTATTATTATTATTATTATTATTATTATTATTATTATTATTATTATCATCATCATCATCATCATCATCATCATCATCATCATTTACAGTTTATTCATTCAGTTTGTATCCTGTTTGCAGTATCCTTTCTCATCTCTCCTCAATCTCCTCAATCTCACCCTCCATCTTTCTTTCTTACAATCCCCTTCTTCTAGTACCTTGAAAAAGAGACTCCTCCCCTCCTATAAGACCCTAGTCTATCAAGTCTCATCAGGAATGCCTGGATCCTCTTCCTCTGTGGCCTGGTAAAGCCACCCTGCCATGGCAAAATGACCAAACAACAGGCAACCAAGTTCATGTCACTGGCAGCTCCTGCTCTTCTTATTAGTGGACTCACTTGGAGACTGATCTGCCTTGGGCTACATCTGAGCAGGAGGTCTAGGTCTTCTCCAGGAATGGTCCTTGGGTAGTGCATCAATCTCTGTAGGCTCCCCTGGGCCAAGAGTTTTGGGCTTTGTTGTTTTTCTCCCGGGGCTCCTGTCCCATCTGAGTCTATCCCACCTTCTTGCAAAAGATTCCCTGCTGTCTACCCAAATAGTGGCTGTGTGTTTCTACATCTGCTTTGATCCCATGGTGAGTGGAGTCTTTCAGAGGACATCTATGGTAGCCTCCCTTCCTCTTTCCTTTCTTCAACTGCTTCCAGTCTCTATTTTTTGCCCTTCTGGATGAGATTTAAGCATCCTCACTAGGTTCCTCCTTGTTTAGCTTCTTCAGGTCTGTAGATTTTAGTATGTTTATTTGTATTACATAGCTAATATCTGCTTATAAGTGAGTATATACCATGAGTGTCTTTCTTCTTCTGGGTTACCCTAGTCAGGATGACCTTTTCCAGTTCCATCCACTTGCTTGCAAATTTTATAATTTCTCTATCCATTCTTTGGTTGGGAGACCTC